CAAAATTTAATTAAATTTTATTTTATTTATCTTTTTGGGGGTGGGGGTTGTTTTCCTTATTATTTGTTAAACAAAAATTTGCTTGCTTGTACACTTCACTTGTGATGTGTCCTCTCACTGAATCAAATCTTCATATTTTTCTTAAAATCTTGGTGGGCGAGACACGTTTGTAGCTTGAAACCCCGTTGTTGTCAATGCTGCAGTTGCTAATGAATTTCTATTAATTAAGCTTGCTGGGTCAACCCAGGAAATAGGCCAACGGCTTGAACGAGGTAATTAACAGAGACAGTGGCAACCATTCAGAATTCAGAGTAACGATTGTGCTATCCTGACTAATCAACATTCAAAGCAAGGTTTGTGTAGTCTCGGTTTTTCACCTTCCAAGCCAGGCTCCCCAGTTCTTGAACTATGTTCCAGCACTCTATGTTCTCTCTCCAGCGACCGCCGGTGTTTTCATAACACACGGCTATATTTACAAACCCAGTCTTGTTCCATTGACAGAGACCAGCCAATGAACGGCACGCAAATAAGCCAGTGTTTCCCCAGTCAGGTGTGGGAATCGATTTTCATTGGTCGACAGCCTGCGTATTTTACCTGCCTGTCGCCTTTACGTCGAAGAGATCGCGCGGTCGATTTGTACGCACACACACACATACGCACGCACACACTATTCTGTCGCGTGTGGACGTAGCGTACCACACATACACATACCGGTGCTGGGAACCACAAGATCAGGACCTTACTCCAACGTTTCCCCCCACTGCATTTTTAGACTCCGGGTTGGCTCGGACCGATTCACATGTCGCGTTGTTGTTGCGTGTGCTCGTTGCAACCGGAGTGAGCTCTATTTCCCTCTTGCGATATCAAATAATATCTTTTTCACCTGGCAACAAAACACTTTGTTGGTTACTGGTTCTGAAAACACGGGTAGCTGTTATATTTATTTATTTTATTTATAAGCTCTCAACATGGGCTTCGTGGAAGGAGACTCGGGTAGAAACGGTTTGAGAAAACGGCTGTGTTTGATTCGAGACGGAAAAGTGTACGACGTCACAGAGTTCGCCGAGAGGCACCCAGGAGGGCGAGAGCTACTGGTCAAGCATGCGGGGAAGGATGTTACGTCGATTATGAGCAGTGCGGACAGTCACGTTCACTCAAAAGCCGCATATTCAATCCTGGAAAAGTATTACGTGGGACCCGAGGAAGCTTTGAGAGAAGAAGTAAGTCCCGCGTTTGTTGTGAGCGTTTATAGTGTATATGTGTAGGCCCCTTGTGTTTAGGCTTGTGTGCTACAACCACAAGTAAGTGTGTTGATTGTTGTCTGTTGTGTGTGTGTGTGTGTGCGCGCGTGTGTGTGTGTGTGTGTGTGCGTGTGTGTGTGTATGTGCGCGCGTGTGTGTGTG